ACACGGAAAGAACGTTTCAGGGGAAAATACTATACTAAGCCAGTAGCTATGACTGTAAAAAGGCCTCTCGTGGTTGACTACTCAACTAGCCAGCACTGATTCATGACCTCAGTACACTGATTTTTGAAATATATAAAAAAAAAAATTTAATCGATCAAAAGTGTTTAAGAGTAAACGTTTTAAAAAAAATAAAATAAATAAAAGCTCACAGACTTCTGTTTATTCTTGAAACTGCCATTAATGCTCACTGTACAATGTCAAAGCCCGACATTTACACACACAGCATTGCAGTGTGTCTGTCTGTGCTGTGGAAATGACTGAACCCAGGAGCAGACCGTGACAGTAAAGAGTGCATTAGTTGGTTATTGGTTTACATCATTTCAAGACCATGTTTCGGCACCAAGCCACCGGGAGATATTCATTGACAGGAGGTTCCTGGGAGCTTCGGTTTCCCAGCATTGTGGTCCACTCTTGTGCAGCCCTGAACTTCCTGTATCATATCGGCTCAGGTCGTATAACAGATTCACAACCTATCTGCTGGTTTGGCTAAATAAATGTGTTCGTTTTTACAACTGTTTCCTCTGTTCCTTTTGTTATTTGCTGAGGTTTCACTGTATTGAACCCCCCCGCCCCCTCCGCCCGCCCTTCACCATTTCCGTTTTATTTATCTTTCCAAGGTTCTGCTTGAACTCACGGCACGGTGGAACTCACGGAACATTACGTTATTGATTTACTTTTTACTTTATTGATGCTACTCTAACATGTGTTTTTATGTTACATACAATGTAAAAATAAAATCCCGATGAATCGTTAAAGAAGTAAAATAAGGATTTTTGGAAAACTGTGACCACCCCACATATGCCCTATATTTGTATATATAAAGTTATAATTTCATTCTGCCTTTGAGGTAAATAGAAAAAACAGTTATTTTCATCTGTTTTAATTAAGGAATAAATCTAAAGCCTTTGGCCCAAATGATGCTTTTAGCGCTAACACGCTAAAAGCTAACAGGCTCCTGGCCTATACTGGAGGCGTATAGACACACATCACTGACTAGTGTTATGCAAATAATTCAATTTAAATCACACCCTTGGACAATGCAACAAGGACATCTAGGAGGTTATCATAACCCGTATCCAATCAGGAGTCTTACATCTTTCCACCTTGTCCATGTGGCAAATCAGATAAGAGTTCTTTGTGGGTAAACAAATACCACGGATGTTAAAAAAAAAGCTTTTTAAAGCAGCCCGTTCAGTGATGTGAATTAGATAAAGACGTTAAACACTCAGACTGTCTGCTGTGTTACAGCTTATTTCACATTTAAAGCACGATGCAGTTGCACTTAAGAAATGTAAAAAAAAAAAAAATGGAGAATGACGAAATGTTTTTCTCTCAAGACTATTTGGGAAAATTACATTATCGGTACAAAACTGTCAGGACTGTTTGAGGTATGACAAGCATGATGCAAAAATTTAAGATTTAAATTCCTATGATAGGCTGCAGTTTTTTTTGATCACATACTGTATTTCAATCTGTTTCAGTAAATGAAAAAAAAAAAACTTCAACGTTAGACGTTAACGATAATCCAAACATTTACATTTGGATCACAGATGGTGGCTTCGCAAAATCACACCACATTGGACTTTAGGCCAAAGGTCGCACGACCAAACCGGAAATTGGGGTAAAACATTTCTGCCTTTGACTGCCTTTTAAATCACCCACCTCCGTACCCGTACAAATATAATGTTGGTGACATTTGAATTTCCTCTGGTGCTTTTTCTTTTACCACGAGATGCCTCCAGTAGCAACCAAAAATCGGCACGAAAAATGCTATTGGTTTCATTATTATTGTGTTTCATTTCATTATTATCTTTATCAGTATTCATTTATCTTGTTCACAACAATATGGACATCAGTATTCCGTATGGCTTGACCTGAGGTTTGATTTGTGAGTGACGAAATATAATAAATCATTGTTATATGAAATGTGTCTCTTGATGACTGTTTAAAACAGGCAT